TATGATTGGTCGTCGTGTGCAACATAGGGATCCTCCTGTACAGAGCCTAGCCCAATCGGAATCTGCTTTACACGAGGAATGGCGTGCAGACTGCCCTTCAGAGGATCAGGGAGGCTGTCAGGGGGATATGAGGAGGGAGTACTGGCCGGCATGATGCAGTCACATGGAGGTGACACTCGGTACTGACCTTGAATCGTGTAGGACACGCAAAATGACATTTTGAATGCTCACATTCACCAATAACCATGAATCATTTCAGGGCCATACTTGTACAGACATGCTTTTGTTTGAAAATTAGTTTTTTTAAAAAAATTAGCATTTATCATCATAAAATCAACATGGATTCCAATCTATTTGTCGTTTTTTTAATGAGTCAAAGGATCATACGGATCAGAAAAACTCATATTTTTCCATCGTGGTCACCACGGGAAGTTTTATGTATGTGTCGAAAACCTATCATTGCCAAAATAGAGGTGGTGCTTACTAAGTTCTTTGTGTATATATCCTGAGTATACACGGTGGGAGATGTTGGGTATGTGTACCGGCATTCGTGCGTTAGATGAGTCAAATCTCATTCCACTTCTCAGATCTCTCTAGGCGTGCTACCAGGCAACACACCAGCCAGAGAGACCATTACTGCTGCATTCTTCAACAGTCAGAGATAATACACTCACAGCCTCACAATCGGCTATGGTTATGCCAGAGAGACCATCAGTGTTACGCTCTCCAACAGTCAGAGAGACCATCACTGTTACACTCTCCAACAGTCAGAGGCCATCACTGTTACACTCTCCAACAGTCAGAGAGACCATCACTGTTACACTTCTCCAGTCAGTCAGAGGCCATCACTGCTACACTCTCCAACAGTCAGAGAGACCATCACTGTTACACTCCCCAACAGTCAGAGACCATCACTGTTACATCTCTCCAACAGTCAGATGGAGGCCATCACTGTTACACTCTCCAACAGTCAGAGAGGCCATCACTGTTACTCTCCAACAGTCAGAGAGACCATCACTGTTACACTCCCCCAACAGTCAGGAGAGAGACCATCACTGTTACACTCTCCAACAGTCAGAGAGAGGCCATCACTGTTACACTCTCAACAGTCAGAGAGGCCATCACTGTTACACTCTCAACAGTCAGAGAGGCCATCACTGTTACACTCCCCAACAGTCAGAGAGGCCATCACTGTTACACTCTCCAACAGTCAGAGTGACCATCACTGATACACTTCTCCAACAGTCAGAGCGACCATCACTGTTACACTCTCCAACAGTCAGAGAGACCATCACTGTTACACTCTCCAACAATCAGAGACCATCACTGTTACACTCTCCAACAGCCAGAGAGGCCATCACTGTTACGCTCTGCAACAGTCAGAGAGCATCACTGTTACGCTCTCCAACAGTCAGAGACCATCACTGTTACACTCTCCAACAGTCAGAGAGACCATCACTGTTACACTCTCAACAGTCAGAGAGGCCATCACTGTTACACTCTCCAACAGTCAGAGAGACCATCACTGTTACACTCTCCAACAGTCAGAGAGGCCATCACTGTTACACTCCAATAGTCAGAGAGACCATCACTGTTACACCCTCCAACAGTCAGAGAGACCATCACTGTTACTTTCTCCAACAGCCAGAGTCAAACAAATGAATCACCAAGGCGGCAACCTCTTATATACGTGTAGGAGCTTTATTATGTGAATATATTCGCAAGACATCCTATATACCTGTATACTTCTCCTAAAAAAAACCGAATCATGAAAATAGCAATTTCATATAGCAATGAATTAAGCAAACGTGATTAATTTTACAAAAGGTTTGCTCTGTTTATGGTCCTATGGTGTTTATGTTTTGAAACATCACAACAAAACGCACCATCCGTAAAAAACCCGTATTTAACAGCATGATTTTCAATTTCGGCGTGTAGTGTCACAGAATACATAATTCATATGCAATGCACGTGAAAGTTGGGGATCAGATAGTCGCAATGATGGGTATAAAAAGGTTGATCGCTGTCTGTCGATTATTCACCGTATTATTGGGGATATTGTTGACGAACGTAAAATGCCACGTCTAAGTGAAGCCAACCATCATATCGCCATTGGTTTGTTTGAAGCTGGCCAGTCTCAACGTGCAGCCGTGCCCGACGCATGAATGTTCACCAAAGCACCATTTCACGGCTCTGTGAGAGATATCGCCGGCAGAATTCGGTAGCAGATGCCCCTCGAAGTGGGCGACCTCGAGCGACCACTGCGTTGCAGGATCGCTTCATCCGGGTACATCACCTGCGTCATCGAACAGCTACGGCGACCAGTACCGCTCGAAAAATGTCTACGCATTGAGGAGGCTTTCTGCAGAACCGCCAGGAACAGGTTGAGAGGCTGGTTTACGTGCCAGAAGACCTTATTTTGTCCCTGTGCTTCCACAACAACATCGTCGACATCGAGGTCAATGTTGCACCAACGTTCAGGCCTGGAACCCACCGAATTGGCGTAGAATCTAGTTCAGTGTTGAATCACGATTTCTATTGGAACGACGCGATGGAAGAATGCGGGTGTACAGACGTCGACGTGAACGTTTCGCCGACGCTTGCGTTCCCCAGGTGGACAGATTCAGCCGGGGAAGTGTTAAGATGTGGGGGGAATTCACCTGCCGTAGGAGAAGTGATTTGGTGATGATCCAGGCCAAACTGACAGCTCAACGGTACTGTGACGAAATCATACGCCCACACCTCCTTCCAATCATTGATCGCCAGAGGGAGTTGTTTCAACAGGACAATGCCAGGCCCCACACAGCACGTCACACTAGAGACTCCCTCCAGAACCACAACATCAATGTGCTCCCCTGGCCCTCAAGATCACCGGACTTAAACCCGATCGAACATCTGTGGGTTGCCCTGGACAGACGGGTGCGACGCCGTAACCCTCAGCCCCAGAAACTTAAGCAACTCGCACAGGCACTACAGGCAGAGTGGGCTGTGATTGGGCAACACGAGATTCTGAGACTTATTCGTTCGATGCCGAGGCGATGCCGTGCAGTTCTGGATGCCCACGGTGGTCACTCGAGGTATTGACTTCAGCGCCACCACACGTCTCCATGTGACACTCAAACTGACTTTCCTCGAGTTGGTGCCAAAGACGGATAAGTCTGCATTCCCAGTGTGCAATTTTGCTATATTTCATTGACTCATAACGCCTACAAGATGTTTCAAAATAAACATAAAAAATACAGTTGAAATTCCTACATGCGTTTCTTTTTGGGGAGAGTATATATTGAGTAATCAATCTTGTCTTTCAAATATGAGCCAAAACCCATTAAGGAGAATATTTTATTTGGATGACATGTACTTACTTTGCCACAAAGGGGGTCAGACGGGGATCAAGAATACACACCGCTGTCGCCTCAGAAGAGATAAACAACTAAGATGTGAAAATCATAGTTATCACAGCTTCAGTCGTGGAAGCAATTATAATGACGTTAACATGGTGAAACTCAACTCACTCATACTGAGTCTGTGTTTGTGTAACAGTTATCCGTTATCCAGTTGTGGATTGATAAATTAAACTGGTAATGATATTAATAATGAGAATATTTATAACACGTCTTTTCCAGGCTAGATATCCTGCTCAAAGCTCACAATCTGATCTTCATTACCCCGTATAACCCATGCTGCCTGTTAGGCGCTAGAAGGCTAATAGTCTCACGACTTATTTCACCGGGTACCCATTTTTTGCTGGGTGAACAGAGGCAATTTTGAACAAACACACTTGCCCAAGGTGAGATCGCATGTATCACATGTGCTTCGTTGTGGGGGAGGACTGAAGTCCCAGAATCTCTCAGGTTACCAAACACAGTCATCCATCTAAGGACTCTCCGCGCCCAACGTTGCTTAACTTCAACTGAGAGGACCACACACCACCACTAATAGCAATCAGAGCTACATATAATCTGTTCATCTGCATAAAATACCCAACATAAATGACATAGTCGTTTTGTGTTGCTTAGATATAGATACGTAACGACAACGTCATAATTACCCTATATCACTATCGATGGTTCGACCTACGCCAGCAATACCCTTAGACTATAGAGTTCCTTTTATATAGGCACAAAGAAAGTTATCAATACCAACTGAGAAAGCCAACATGTGAGAAAAGATTAAAACGCTCAAAACATTATAGAGAACCCTAAGCACCAGGTATTTGTCATTTCAATATGAAAACAGTTGAAACAACTTGAAGAACAGTAATTGATAGGGGTAATCTCAATGTCCGAAGGTGTTTGCTTGAATGCCACCGTCGTATCCAGTGTCGGCTCCTAAACACACTTTTTGTGAACAATGGATGGGCCGGACTCATCGTACTCCTGCCTGCTGATCCACTTCTGCTGGGAGGTCAACCGGGGGGCAAGAATGGAGCCACCGATCCAGACAGAGTATTTTCTCTCTGGAGGAGCGATGACCTTGACCATCATTGTTGGTGGAGCGAGGGCTGTGATCTCCTTCTGCAGTCTATCAGCCATTCCTGGGAACATGCTGCTACCTCCTGAGAGAATAGTGTTGGCATATAAATCTTTACGGATATCAACATCACACTTCATGATGGAGTTGTATACTGTGGCCTGGATACCGGCTGATTCAATACCCATGAGTGATGGCTGGTAGAGGGCCTCTGGACAACGGAACCTCTCGTTGCCAATAGTAATGACCTGACCGTCGGGAAGCTCGTAGCTCTTCTCCAATGAAGAGGAAAAGGCAGCCTTCTGCATTTCCTATTCATAGTCAAGCGCAACATAGCACAGTTTTTCCTTGATGTCCCTGACGATTTCTCGTTCTTCAGTGGTGGTGATGGAGTAGCCACGCTCAGTCAGGATTTTCGTAAGGTAATCAGTTTAGATCACGACCAGGTCCAACCTGATAATGGCATGAGGAAGGGCGTAGCCTTCACTGATGGGAACCAGAGTCCAAAACAATACCCGTGGTACGACCAGAGGCGTACAGAGACAGAACAGCCTGTGTGGCCACATACATAGCTGGAGAGTTGAAGGTCTCGAACATGATCTGGGTCATCTTTTCACGGTTGGCCTTGGGGTTGAGGGGAGCCTCTGTCAGGAGGACGGGGTGCTCCTCTGGAGCCACACGAAGCTGGTTGTAGAAGGTGTGATGCCAGATCTTCTCCATGTCGTCCCAGTTGGTGACGATACCGTGCTCGATAGGGTACTTGAGTGTGAGGATACCTCTCTTGTACTTAGCCTCCTCGCCAACGAAGATTTCCTTCTGTCCCGCAGTCTTGAAAGAAAAATATATTTTGGTGTCACATGATTTATTATTTTTTACACATATATTGAAAGCTGTCACCAATCATATTTTCATTTTAACTATAAGTTACATTCCACTATAATAGATAATCGCATTAATCTTGAAATATCCACTCGTGAACTTTATCAGAGTGCCAAGAGGGATTTCTAGAAGAATGCTCTACTACTGACCATACATTTACTCTCAGTAGCAATATCCATAAGTATCTGTGGCAGACGTTTTATTATCTATTCGTAAACATTAAGGAAGCGTTTGATTCCGTTAATAGATCCAAACTGTTATATGACTTACTACAGTCAGGTATACATGGCAAACTCCAACGTCTTTTGCGTAATATGTACTCCAATGTGAGAGCATCTTTTAGAACCAGTAAATTCCAAATGAGTGATGTATTTGATGCATGTGTGACAGTGCCGGAGTGAGACAAGGCTGCATTCTACCCCCTGTACTTTTCTTCTTATATGTTGAAGAATTTCCTTAACGGAAATGTTATCGAATCATTCAGAGACCTTTCATTATTGTTATTTGTAGATGATGTTGTGCTTTTTGCCGATTCAATTGTCCAGTTACAATGCAAGATAGCTACTCAAAATGGATATTGTTTGAAATGGGGTTTGCACACAGATATCAGTAAAATTAAAGTAATAGTATTTTAAAATGGTGGTAGAATTTCTAATAGTGAAAAATGGTTCCTTAATGGCCAAGTATTGGAGGTGGTATCATATTACAAATGTTTAGGAAAATATAATCTTACATTTTCTTGCTAAAATATATTTTCCAGAGCCTGTGAAACATTAGCTATGCAAGCTGAACGAGCTCAGCATGTTATAAAGCAATCCATAAGTAAATATACAGAATTACCGATCCACGCATCATTTAAGCTGTTTGATGGAAAAAATTCAACCAATTCTGTTGTACGGTTCTGAAACATGGGGCATTAACATAAACAAGAATATTGAAAACGTATATTCAAAGTTCTGTAAGTATTTGTTACGTGTTGGCTACAGAACTGCGAACAAGGTTATTTTACCTGAATGGGGACGTTTTCCACCATTCATTAATGCCCGATGTCGGGTAATTTCGTACTGGTTAAGATTGATGACACAGCCAATTTCACGATGTACAAGAAGTAGTTTGGAAATGCTTAAAACATTAGATGATACTGGAGATACTAACTGGGTTTCCTTCATTAGAACTATTCTTTTTAGTCATGGCTTTGGAAATGTGTGGCTCGCTTAGAATGTAGGCAATAGGAATATTTCATTCACCGTGACGTATTCTAGCAGATACAAAGACATTATCAAGAAGACTGGTATAATGAAATAATGTTATCAACTTGTGTCAGCTTCTATTCAGAATATAAAGATTGCATTAATACAGAGGTTTATCTTTCTGAGATTATATCAGCACAACGTAAACGTACGCTTACTAAATTTAGATGTAACGCTCACAACTTCAAAGTTCAAGCGGCACGATTTACGAAAACTGTAAATGTAATAGATACTCAATGTCCATTTTGTAATCTATTTGAAGACGGTAAATGGGTATTTACTGATTTATAGATGTTCCTATAATTCGCAAATTTACAGGTTGCGCATAAATTCACTGTTAAAATTTTACACATGTACTATTGACCTCTAGGCCACTTGTATAAATAAAAATCTGTCTGTCTGTCAGATGTAAATCTTTTTGAATATCAGTTTTGAACGAACCCTGTTTTCAATAAAATCGCCTAACTGATATCTTCCCAACAAACTTGTTAAATTGTCCTATGTCAACATGACACTAGCAGAATTAAGTGTAATACCTGATGATGACCCACGACGGAGGGGAAAACAGCTCTTGGGGCATCATCACCGGCGAACCCGGCCTTTACAGTGCCGGAGCCGTTGTCGAAAACCAACGCGGCAAATTCGTCGTCACACATTTTGATAGAATAGTGTAGAAGCAAGTATCGTTCCTTGTTGCACGCCGGCTGGTGACTGAATGACTCTGCATCCTCCACAGCTGTATTTATGTGCGCCGATCAAAGCACTTCTCGGGAGCCAACCACAGCTTTCTTATTATTGTACAGGCATTCTAGGCCAATTTAGCACTCAACTTGTGACAAATTGTAACAGAAATGTTTTCACCACTGTGAATTTCTATGAGGTCCCTAGAAGACTATACCAAAAGTCCTAAGGAATCCCAGCATAGGAAATTTGTTAAAATTGCATAAATCCAATATGGCCTCCAAATATCAATAATTAATAATATATCTGCTCTAAGAAGACACATTTGAACGATTTAAGTTTTGAAACCGGAGTTTTGGGCAGCAAGGATTCACGTAATATGTTGTAACATGGTTTGCTTAATAATTCATTCCAAAATATCCAAAATGGACGCAAAAAATCGAAAGATTCCCACACTTATGGCATTAAAACATGACATGTGCGTCATTTTACGTTCGCATACACTCTATCGTCTCCACCGTGGCCAAGAGGGTCCACATATGACGACATGCATGCTACATACGTGACAAAGAAGTATGGTGCTGCCGCTATTGTCTTTGATGGTCTTACACAAGAACCCACAACTAAAGATGTTAAAAAACTGCGAAGAGCAGGCGCTTGCCTAAGTGTGACAGTACACTTCACCGGTGAAATGATCATCCAGTCCAAGAAGGAAGAATTCCCTCAACAATTACCTCAGTGACGCACTAGAGAGAGCTGGTTGCAGCACTGATCATGCTAAACATAATGTGGTCGTCCCCATCGTTGAAACAGCCGTTTCTTCTGCCAAAACAAGAGTCACGGTTCCAGTCGGAGATGAGACAGATCTGCTATTGCATCATGCTGAAATGAATGCGCATGAACTGTTCGTCACACCAGAGTTTAAGAAACCGTCATAAGCAAAACGCTTGTGCTGCATAAAACAGTCCAAGGAGTTGTTGGGTCCAACAATTTATGAAATCCGCTCTTCATCCACACCATTTTAGGTTGTGACACAGGTCTAGCATTAAAGAAGGTGACACAGTATGTTATTTTCACTGATCAAGCTAAGTTCTTCGATCAAGAAAGACACTTATCCAGAAACGATATAATTGCAGCAGGAGAGAAAGCTATAGCTTCATTGTATGGCGGTGTCAAGGAAGAAACGCTTGATTCTTTAAGATGCATTCGTTTCTATGACAAAGTATCCAAAAGTACTTCTCCTGTGGAACCACAGACTCTTCCACACCAATTGGGAAATAAGAAAGGAGAGGGTACTCGTCTCAATGATATCATGGTTCGATACAGGAGGGGTATTGTGGTGCAATGTGGAAAAGTCGGGAAGAAGAAATCAATGATTATTCAGAGATTTGTATGTTTTGCATTGTTTATAAACTACAGGGCAAAAGGAAGTTTCACAGACTTCACTTGACCAAAACATAGAAACAAACACGTATGTTAGATTTATGATAACTATTCTACAAACAGAAATCATTTTCCAATAACTTTACTGAAAGTTCATTTAAGTGCTGGTCTTGCATTTGCCGTAATTCAAAGAAAGTCAGGGGGTCAAAATAAAGAAAATTCAACAAATCAGTGTTCTTTAAAAAAATTCATGAAGAGTCACATGAGACAGGAGTCAGGGGACACATCATTAATAGCGAGTGTGACCACCCGTGGCATCCATACACGCAAATACATGTCCCCTCATTGACGTCGTCAGTCGGCCGGATGACGTCAGCAGGAATCCTGTTCCATAAGTCCACGAGAGACTGTTGGCAACGTGGAGGTGGTTCACGATATCTCAGCCTACCATCAAGATGATCTCAGAGATGTTCAATGGGGTTTATGTCTGGAGAACACGCTGGCCAAGGCAATACGTTGACGTTAATGTTGTACAGGTATTCTCCAAATATCCTGTCGTGGTGCAAAATGACTACACTTGGATATTGTCGAATAACACCACAAAAGGTCTCAACACTTCATCCCTGTATCACCGGGCCTTCAGACATCTTGTTCTTTCGCCACAAATGCCGCCCCATACCATGCCGCCCCCCCTCATTGGACGGATGAACTTCTTGAACGTATTCTGGCACCAGTCGCTCTTCTTGTTTGCCCTTAACCCTGAAAAGCTGTGGGTCCTGATTAGAATGTGTAGGCCCTATATTTTAATATGGAAATAATGCTCTTAGATATTGGGGATGAAAAGCTGTCGGTCATTAGGAGTGGTTTTCAGTCGGCTTCGGGCTTCGGGCTTAAGGACCGACCTTAATTTCGAACGCTGGTCGCTCACCTCTGCATCGAAAACTGGAGGAAGAATGACAGAGAATCCCGATACATGTGATCAGACGACTGACATTATCCGCTTGACGTCGTGTTCATGCTTGCATACAAGCCAGGGGTGACCACACACGATATTAACTGTATTAAACGGTCTGTCTTCACTTTAGGGCCGCTTATGATGAAAAGGAGGGTGCTCGAATACAGCACAGTCAACTGTCCTTGATTCAATTGTACACTGTGTGATCATTCATATCTGTACTTCACACTTTCATCATTCAGAATGTTGTAAAACCATTAATCTTCCAAATATGATTGTTACATTTCCAATATCTGAGTTTGTTGACATGTTAAAAAAGCGAGGTGACGTTTCTTTCGCCCGTGAGTTTATGCCATTGTTTCTGAACCAAGTGAACCGACTTTCATCTGTAAAGAGCACTCTCTCCAAATCACGCCGCTGCTACCTACGCACAGTTCGTACCCATTGCAGTCTGCGTTGACGGTGTAGACGGGTCAAGGTCGTTC